TTTTTTTTTTTTTTTTTTTCTTCCATAATAAATATTATACGGCAATAAGCGTGCCTGAATAACGAATAAAGTTCATCGACCCGTTTTTCCGACTCGACAATCGATTAAAAAAAAAAAAAAAACAACAATATAATGAATAAAATATAATTAGAAAAAAAGAAAAACAATTTGACGGTTACATAATATTTTTTCAATGAAAGACGAGATGAAAGAATTTTCATGTGGCTGATTATAACTACTACGACAAAATGAAAATAATCCGTAAAGATATAGGTTTTGATTGAGTAATAATTGACAAACGACAGTGTTGGCTCGACATTCAATTGTCGCTTAACTGCGGGCGGCGAGAAAAAGAATTATCGAGTAATAAGTAACAGCTGGCGCATACTTATTATGTATTGTCGTTAAAAAAAATCTGATCTTGCATAGTAAAAAAAAAAAAAAAAACAATGCACGTGCTAATGGGACTTGACGATCAGTGTTTTTGTTGTTTTGTTTTTGTGCACACCCACGCGCAGTGTGCAGGCTGTAAACGTCGTAGGAGAAAAAGTAGTCAACAGAATCGCAGAAAAGCGTCACGCGCGTGCGATCTTTCGATGAGCCAAAACGTTTTAGGTGTATTAATATATACGTATACGTATATCTCTGATGGACACGTGTAATTCGAAAATCACTCGTCGTTGTCTTTGGTAAGTAAGTCACGATCGCGCATTCAGTAAACAGAAGGTCAGGTGCACGCTCAAAGGTACGCGACGGCGATGAAATAATAAATAAATAAACAGAAAGCACCTAAGTCGAATGTAAAATTGTACATGTCTGTATGTATAATATATGTTAGCGGGTACGTACCTGAGGTCAGAGACAACTGGCCCGTAACGCGCGTCGATGGAGACAAGGCCGAGGTTTTGCAATAGGATGCCACAGAGGAGCATCCCGATGAGGGCAGGCATCGAGAAAACAGTGAATAACCAGCCTGCAAAGTGCGCCGCGATTGCGAGACAAGCCAACCCAAACAAGGGCCCACCGGGAGCTGCATCAGAGCCCATGATGGAGTACACGATGCCCCAAAGTAATAGGCCCAACAGCACCAGGCACAAAACTCGGGCAAACTTGCGATAGCTCGGACAAAAGGGCCGAGGACAAGCTCGCCGCCATCCCGAGGGTTCCCAAGAATCCGTGTCACCCGGACCATGGCAACGTGTACAGAAGAGGTACAGCCACGATCTAAAAGCCGATCCAAGACCCTTCAACTCACGATGGCTTCCAAACATGCCCGACGACGCGGTGGTTATTGCACCTCCGCCCGCGTCGTCGAGCGTACTATACTTTATATATACATAAATCCTCTTTTCGCCGCAAAATTTCTACATGTGTGTATTATATATATTATACTGCACGAGCATCGATCAAGATATACACATGCACTCTTGCAAGTACATAGCGTATTACTACTTGTTATGTGATTGCAACAGCTAGGTATATTCGCCTCGTTTTCTTATGGACGCTCATCGTTGTGCACCCATATAACATATATACCGTATACCTTTTGTAGTGGAGGCTTTCTTGTACATATATTCACATGTATTATATTGTGTGCCGTAACTTTCCTTGTTCCTTTCGTCGCTCTCAATTAAATCTTTACTTCCGCGTACGTATATACGGAGGACAAAAAAAAAAAAAAAAAAAAAAAAACCGACTGGTTGTTAAACCACTCCGGAGACCGCGGTGAGGGTCTAGAATTACATTTGTCAGTGAAACCACAAAACAAACCGAACCCCCGAGCCCGAATTTCATAAAGCGAAGAATATGGTGTACATGGCAGCGTATAGCTCAGGCAAGGGAAGAGCGAGCGTGCAAAAGGGCAGCCGGAGAAATTGATCGCGAGCTGCGGTGGGACCACGGCTGGCGCACGAAATNGAGCTAGAAAAAGAAAAAGACGAGCATCATCGCCACCATCAGGAGAATTAGGAATGAATTGGAGGGTATACCTCGATAAGTAATAGGTCTATTCCTTTGTATTAAATGCAGCCATGCCCCAGAACGAGAGCTAGAAACAATAACGCGCTCTCTCCCTCCCTCTCAACATTTCTATTACTTATTGTGCCTATTGTGCATGTATGCCCTACATAAAAAAAAAAAAAAAAATAACCGACTGTTTTCTATACCGATTTAATCTAAACTCAAGTTTAAGCCACGTGCCCTTTACGTATTGGGTACAACTCTGCAATGTTATCCGGTAATTTGTAACAATTTAATGATCAAGTACCCATACAAACTCAAACACGCGGGAAAGGAAAGAGAAGTATATCTTCGATAAGGGCGATTATCACTCGCGGATGATAAACTCGCCAAAGGTATCGGTCGCGCGAAAGAAATATATATACGATTTAATTGTTGTAAGGTATCAGTGATTATACATGGGTAAGCGAAACGATTATGACTTTCTTATCGATAATCATCGTCGAGATAATTTTAAAGCAAACATTGCAAACTCGAGAGAGAGTGACGAATTATGAGAATTATATTAGTAGGTTACCCAAACGCTTGTTGTACATACGAGAGAGAGAGAGAGAGAGTGTTTCAAGGAGGTGCGACGAAGCTCGATCGAACTCGATCTGGATACCGGCAGATACATAGCATTGAGGGGACGGCGAGGAGGAGGGGTTTCGTTTAAAATTCCGTGGCCGTCGTCGCTCAGCTGTTATTGCACTGATGGCACACTCTGTTACACATAGGTACATAGTACGTACATGTTCACTGCAGCAGCTTCACCATTACCCACCTATTAATATATTATTTTGTGGGCTTTTTATTTAATCGAGATGTATATAACGTGCCCATGTGTACAGGGAACGCGAATCAGTGATGATGCGCGTATATTGTACTTGCATACTCTTTTGTCGCTGAAAATCTAGATGAAGCGTAACAATTACACACGGGTCCAAAAAGCATAAAGTTAACGGTACTATCACAAGTAGGTGGCTACGTGGCGGCCTAAGATTAGAATTATCGGCAAAAAGTAACGATGTCGGATATCGATAACAGCTACAAGTATGCGTTAATATGAGTTTAAAAGTAAATCTGCATATAGGCATTGATATACCCACATAATTTTTTTTCCTTCGGTAACAATGTTCGATTGAACGTAATTGTTACATCTTATCGTGTCGTGTCAAGCTATTCCGTTGAACGATGAATTCGGAAAAATAGTGGTGTAAATAACTATTTAAAATGAAATAATAAAAAAAACGGTTGTTTCTCTCGAACAAATCGGATCGAGGTGATACGAGCCGTCAATATAATACATATTATTATTATCATCATCACGTGTCGTGTACATACAACGCTATCGGTGTAAGATCGATCAAATTTTCCAGTGTTTACATACACGTGCGTTTACGAAATAAAAATGAAAGAAAAAAAAAATCGAAATACCTAGGCGGATACCTGTAAAAGTTGCGTACCGATCGTCTACGTACCGCTTGAGCTCCTCGGTGTACTCGACCTTTTCCCTGATTGAGCTGGACAGGCTCAGGGCGGATTTTTTTCTGGAAAATTGGTGCCTCGGGTCGAGCTTACCGTTGTTCTCGGCGTCGGAGCAGTGTAGGTTCTCAACGCTACCCGGAACGCTGTTGGCCTGGTGCAGGATCGACTTTTTACGCGCTGGATCGGCAGTAGCAGCACCAGTCGTGCCGCCGCCGTGGTGGTGGTGGTTGTGGTGATGGTGAGGAGGGTAGTGATGATGGTGGTGATTGTTGTGATGGTTGCTACTACCGGTACTACTACTGTGGTGCTCGAACGCCGGGTTGTCGAGGCCCTGGTGGGGCAGTTGTTCGCTTATAGAGACCCGTCGATGTCTGCCCGCCAGATCGTCCATCCTCGCTGCTTTTTCTCGGCGAGTCGTGATTATTAATCAAAACTTGGAGCTGTTTAACCGAGATTTAGCTGCAACTGCATCACCAAAGGCCGTGTATCAATTGACGTTGCTTTAAGGTATCCCTATCGCCCCTTGAGATCGACGGCTGGGCCCAAACTGTTCATCAGCGTCGATCGTCGATCGGCTATACACTAGCTCCATGCAGCAGGAGCAACGCTGGTATATAGTGTAGTATAGTAGCGACGATAGCGGCAGCAGCAGAGAGAGAGAGAGAGAGGGGGGGGGTGAGACGTCGTCGCGAGATGTCGGGCGTGGAGTGGAGGAGTAACTGCTGATTGTCGTCGCGACTGTTAGGTACAGGCAGGATGGGCTCACGGGCACGCGGGACGGGTCGCCTTGCTTTGCCGGGATTTTTGGGAAATGTCTACATCTCGCTTTGATCTTTCGCCTTGGGTTCGCTATTGGCGCTTTAATTTTTCATTGATGCAATCGTGCTGTTTAGGTATTATTCAAACCTGTACTAAAGAGAACAAGAGACAAATACATTGTTTCAGCTGATCCATTTGCTTCCCAATCGGAAATTTGTCTAGGTCGTCTTCATCCACGTAAATGTATACCAACACACCCTCCCCCTTCCCTTGTCTCGCCCTAGCTCTCGTGGTTATATACGGTTATATACATCAATTTTTGTATACTTAATCATCATTGTGACACGAATGAAACGATTACGTAAACAAACTGAAAAAAAAAATAAAATAAAATAAAATACAAGATCATCGAATGAAATCGGCTTATCGATTTTTCCGCGTACGAGAAGAAAAATTCCCATTGATAATTTACGCTTATCCGATAAAAAAAAACTTGGTCACGGTGACTATTGCGACGTATTATGCTATTGTTGTTCGAGTTATGTACAAAAAATATAAATAGTTGATATCTAAAGTATGCGTGAAAGTACAATTTAGCCATATTATTATTTCTGGCTAATTAAAGCCCAATCAAAAGGGACACTTAGCCGAAAGCTCATTCTCATATTATTCAAGTATTCCCGATTAGAATGAATAGAAAAAATAATAATAAATCCTCTTTGTCCAACGACGCTTTTACATCAGTATAAGTATACATCAACAACTCGGCAGTTTCATCTCGATTGCCGAGCGAATTAACAGCTGGTACACATAGAGATGTGATTCCGCGGGCGGTCGGCCACTTCTGCAAGCTGATGTGTAAAAAAGAGCGACGGACGCAATTTCCTGCGCAACAACGAGGAAAAAGGAAGATAACAAAAGAAAACAAGGCAAAGGCGCGAAGAGAGCTTCGTGCCAATATATCTACGCCGTGCGTAAATGGCTCCCCAGCGTTAATTACAAACGGAGTAACACATACACAAAAGGTTAAGGTGGAGCGCGTAAAGCCGTAACGTGACAGTGGTGTTACGTAGTTTGGTAACGCGCACACGCGGGAGCGCAAACAGTCGCGGTTGCGTAATTAGACTGACCTTAGGAATTTCGTTTCTATGTATAGTTATTGTATACCTCCACACCTTTGGCTCGGAGAGACGCGATAAGCGGCTACAGCCGAGATGCCGTATACACAGCCGGACACTATGTACTCTTATACCCTACTGATGGTTATCCTCATGCGCATATTTTATTATAGCATCACCGTTATACGTATAACCGCAACAATCATGATGTGTGTGTGTGTGTCGCAAAGCGCTGGAACTCATTGAGTAAATTTAATGACGACGACTATGACGCCACGGACTAATCGCTGTTGGCTATTGTAATTGAGAGCACGTGCTCTCTCTCTCTCTCTCTCTCTCTCTCATCCGACAGATGTTGACAAATATTCTAATCATGTGATTCGAGCTCTCTATACCCATTCCTATATTTGTCACTTTTTGTTTGTTTCGCGTCTCCGAGGATACTTACCTTTATTAGAGACGCGTTGTCGTCACGCGCCCCCAACATATATATTCATGAAAATGTGTGCGTCACCAATCGAATTTTTGGAACTTGATGCATAATTACCGTGAAATTTTGCAGAGCCGCCTGCCCCCGCGTGGATAAATTTTAATGCCTTGGTCTCAGCATTACGTCGCCGCTTCGCATGGATCTGCATACTTTATTGTACCCCTTATGCCATTAACGTGTATCAAGTGCGCTAAATGTTTCCTCAGACGCATGGATCGCACGGTTACGTACTTGAGTTTCGCAAAATGTTTCGGGAGCTATCTCTATAGGTATACGTCGTTGTAAGTACATCGCGTACGTGTTTGTCATGTACATCTTCATCGTTTTGGTGCTCAATTTACTGTAAATGATCAGGATATTTCTGTGTTATCTAACATGCGATGTATATTAAAAATGCACAAATCGTGTGTAGTTCAACCCCCTATGCGATTATTGTTGTACACGAATTACGTGTATTGATGTATGTTATGTCAAGTAAGATGATACACAAAATTTTAGTCTTTCTGGCATTTAATTTTTCCAATTTAGTAAATTACACAACATTTTTAACCCTGAACAAAAATATGTACTTGTCCTGCATTGTACATAATTAAAGTCTCATTGATTCAAATCATCAACTGCATGTCACTGTTAATTTCTTACAACGTCTCAAATAATTTGATTAATTGCAGGCGAATCAATTGTTCTAGCAAAAATTAATTTTTCAAAACAAGAAAGAAAAAAAAAATCAACTTAATGAGGATGTAACATATAGGTTTTCAGAGCTTTTTTTTCTTTTCCCGATGTTGATTCGTTCAATTGCCAAATTAAATTGGCTTACGAGCCCCGACAACACGCGCGTACACGAGAAACGCTTGCAAACATTACTTCATTTCGCAGAGAGTCCCGTGATTTCGGATCTGAGAAAATTGAAAGGATACACCTACAGAGTTTAATTGCTGCTATCCTCTCGGAATCTTTGAGAAAAAAAAAAACTTTTCCCTTCGCTCTGCGCTCGCTTCAAATTTCATTATTCACAGCACGACCACGTGTCTCGGACGTAAAGAAGGTACCATGCGTATTTTCCAATCAATTGGGAGTCCATCGTAGTTACGAGGGCTTAAAAAAAAACTTGGGAACCTTTTCCATCTTTTTTTTGCTTCTTCTGTCAGAACTCTTCCAAGTCGGATCGAAAGAGATTTAGATTTTTTTTTTTTTTTTTTTCCTCTTGCCGCAAGCTCCCTGGCAAGATTGATTACGCGTACTATTGTACGTATACATGACCCCAACGGGTGACAGCAATCAAGAGCCGAGGAGACGGAAAGAAAGGGCTCGTATGAGTACATCGCAGGCACTTGCAGGCAGAGGCAAGTTCGTTGGACCGAAACAGAAGCTGAGAGGACAAAGTTGGAAATGGATGTAAGCGCGTGTGGGATTATAATGTGTAAAAGCGAGAGCTAGAAAAAGAAAAAGACGAGCATCATCGCCACCATCAGGAGAATTAGGAATGAATTGGAGGGTATACCTCGATAAGTAATAGGTCTATTCCTTTGTATTAAATGCAGCCATGCCCCAGAACGAGAGCTAGAAACAATAACGCGCTCTCTCCCTCCCTCTCAACATTTCTATTACTTATTGTGCCTATTGTGCATGTATGCCCTACATAAAAAAAAAAAAAAAAAAAAAAAAAAAAAAAAAAAAAAAGGTTTAACAACCTTCACCCACATTGTGACTACCTATATATTTTACGTTTCACCGAATGAGGTGAATCAATTAGTTTTTCTTCCACTATTTTCATATTATCAATGCACGACACGATTTCTAATTTATTTTTACCGTAAAATAACAATGAGTCGCAATGTACATCAAAAAGTCCCGTTTAACGAGCGATTAACGCGGTAGATACTGTTAATCAGCGTCAACCAGAATCGATAATTTTGCAAAAATTGCAAAACGTGTGCGTATAAAACGCGAAAAGTGTTGTGTGTGTATGGGATATACCTACCTATGTAGAAAAAGAAGAAAAAAATGGGTGCTTCTCGGTCGGCTGGAGATTTTTGGCGAGTCGCGAGCCGCGTGCCAAATGCAGCAGACGGGGAAAACCAGAGCAAAGCGTAAGTACCCTACCTGACACACGCACACAGAGACAGCTGGAGAGCTGCAGCAGCTGCACGAATGCGCGATTCTTCTTCCTCTATATGAAACGCTTTTCCCCACCCCAACCCCCCTCACACGCGTATAATATATACGTGAATGCGTAGGTGCAGTCCGTCCCCGCGAGAGCCTTCAAAATTGAGAAGATTCCAGCCACCGGGAGTGTATAAAATATGTACCTACTGGGGCGAGAAAACGAGAAAGATACGCCAGCAACAACAGACAACCTATCCAGCAATTAAAATACGTGAAACCCAAGAGAGAGAGAGAGAGAGAGAGAGGTCTCCATACAATATAGCAGTCGCAGCACCAGAGTGAGGGGAGGGTGGGGGGGTGGGAGGAATGAGCGAAGCAGCCGGGGGTTGCTCGGGCAGCACCGAGTTATCGATTGCGCGAGCGGGCGACGACGACGCTGTAACCACCCCACCGATTGCGCGCGCACCGATACCTCTCGGGCGGCTTTTCCCGTTTTTCCAATCCAGTCCAGCGGGACCACGGCACTCGGCTGGCGGCCGGGTAAGCGCAGTCGGCCCGGGACGCCTCTCGCGATCGCCCGCAAGCTCCCTCTCGACCCTTGTATTTTTTTTTTTTTTTTTTTAAACCCATCAGGCCTCCGAAAACGGCAAAGTAGTGCGTTCACGATAAAACACCCACTGGCAGGGAAAAGATCACTCGGTAGCTGTAGTGACGAGAAAAGAAAAAGAAAAAACCAAAACAAAACGAAAAAGAAGATATACGTATGAATATATATATATGTAGGGGTTACGGATGTTAGGCGCGTAGCGTACCATAGGCAGCCGCCCCTCAGATGCGTGCCGGCGGGCGGCTGCTGCTGCGAGAGCAAAAGGAGGAGGATGGGCGCTGCGCCCCCGTGGTGGCCGCGAAAGTGCAAACAACGACAGCATCGACGGGGAACTGGAGCCCGTGGTGAACGACACCTCGCACGGAGCGGGCGAGCCAGATGCAGCGGGCCCCGGGGCCCCTGGCGATGCTGATGGCCCCTCGTCGCCGATGCAACGCACTGCACCAGCTGCTGCTGCTGCTGCTCACCCTGCTCCGCACAGTACGTCTTTTTCTACGTTCAATTTATTCTTTTATGGCAAAACTTCAAAACTTACATGTACGTATGTCATGAACGGTACAACCTCGGCCAATAACCCCCATGTGTACAAATATTACCTATTCCCGTGGCCCTCTCTGGCTCGCGAGGGTAATTGGAGATTACCACTCAGATTCCGCGACCTCGGGGCTGCATAGGATCGCGACCCTTTTTTCCTACACCCAATATCTGGCCGAGATGGCTGGCCGCCAAGAGCACCGCCAGTCAATCCGAGGAAGGCTCCTTCATCCTCCTTCTCATCTCTTGATCGTACTACATACATATATACACACTCATCCTTCTGATGCATAATGCATTCGACACTGGCTGAAATATGGATCGAGGGATCGGGGGAAAAGGGGAGGTTTCCGTCTGGTGTACGCGTGTGCCCCTTTTCTTCACCCACAATCAACGACTTATATATTATAGATCAGTGCGGCAAGTACAGTCGTGGTGATGAAAAAATTCGCAGCCTCCGGATCCGATGTGCCTCCCCCCTTTTTTGTTTTCGCGCTTCGCCGATAACCACCACCACTATGGGCAACGTTGCGTGATTGAATTGCAGATGAATCGTTATTCCATACGACGGAGATACTTGTACGCGGTAATTTATGTCACGAGTGATTTGCTGTATTTGTAATTTCTCTCTTTCTTTTTCGCTTTGCTCGATGGCTACTCCAGTATTTATTGCGCTCGGGTTTCGTGCCAATTTGACACTTATACGGACGACGACGACGACTCGACCCTTATGCGTCACGCAGCTCGATTGAAATCCGACTGTCCTCCCGATTTAATTTAATGGTTTGGAAATATTCATTTCGACCTCTCAACCGTGCGTCGGTGTATTTTTCTTTTCATCGGCAAATAAAAAAATAAAAAAAATAAAAAAATGGCACAGACGATTTATTTAAAAGAAGAAATGATTTAATGATAAATTTCATGTTTACGGTAATAGTATATATACCTACGTCAAAAGGGAGGTAAGGTTTCATTGTAAATTGTACCTCGCGTGGCTTGTTTACGTGTATCGTGCGCCTCAAGTACCTACATCTACTATCGAAACTGGAATAGCTACTCAAGATGTGTTTGAGTTAACTTTATTATTGCGTGTATATGTATAGTACAATAGTGTTTGCTTTGCTTTAAAGTTTTAGCAGATGTGTAAATTTTATATTTTACTGCAAAATAAAGTATAAATTTTACTATTGACAAAAAAAGCATAGCAGGCAAGAGGTAGAATTTTTATAAATTACGCAAAATGCATCCGTCGACCGATATACACACACCCAATCCAGGCTAAAGTGCTTTTATGTTTTACTTTTCCATGCATCACGAGCGCACTTGATTGATACGTATATATATATATATA